AGCAAGTAGACATGAAGAGGATTTCAGCTCTGCAAAAAGGAGGTACCCTCCTGGCCAGGCACGGCAGCTCACACCTGTAATCCCAGCACTTTAGGAGGCCAAGGCCAGTGGATCACTTGAGGTTGGGAGTTCGAGACCAGCCTGGCCAACATGGTGAAACCCCATCTCTACTAAAAATACAAAAATTACCCAGTATGGTGGTGCCACGTCTGTTATCCCAGCTACTCGGGAGGCTGACTCAGCAGGAAAATCACTTGAACCCAGGAGGCAGAGGCTGTGGTGAGCCAAGATCGTGCCACTGCACTCTAGCCTGGGCAACAAGAGCAAAACTCCATCTCAAAAAAAAAAGTACACCATGAATCACTACTCCTAAACCCACCTCCATTTTCAATTGGCATTGTTGATAAATAAATTCGAGTTTCCTTGGAAATTGAGGTTTACAGAGGTGAAAGTACAAGCTGTTACAAATATCTAGTTACAAAGAACACTCACCATGGGTCAAATTGTAACTAGAGAAACCACTGCCATCCAAAAGGTTACTAGGGGCAAATTCAATATCTATTTAATTATTTATTTATTTATTTATTTATTAAGCCAGAGTCTTGCTCTGTCACCCAGGCTGGAGTACAGTGGCGTGATCTCAGCTCATTGCAACCTCAGCCTCCCAGGTTCAAGTGATTCTCCTGACTCAGCCTCCTGAATAGCCAGTATTATAGGCACACACCACCAGGTCCAGCTAATTTTTGTATTTTTAGTAGAGATGGGGTTTCACCAAGTCGGCCACGCTGGTCTCGAACTTCTGGCCTCAAGTGATCTTCCCACCTCAGCCTCCCAAAGTGCTGGGACTACAGGTATGAGCCACCATGCCCAGCCTCAGTATCTCTTTAAAGCCTTAATACAAGGGAAGTCTTAGTGAATGATGTGGTCACCTGTGTAGACATTTATTTTAGCCAAGATAAACATATGAAGAAAGAAGGCCAGTGAACCGGACGCGGTGATAAACATCTGAAGAAGATAAACATATGAAGAAAGAAGACCCGTGAACCGGGCACACTGCAACGAGCTGTGATTGCACCACTGCACTCCAGACTAGGTGACATAGCAAGACTTCATCTCAAAAACTAAAAATAAAACAGTAATAGTTTAATATGTTGCCCAACATATAAAGATACTTGATAACTAATGTTATGCCTGCACATACAAAATGAGAATATACTATATGTCACAAATAAATTGCATATATAGAACCCTCTTTTCATTCCTTAGGAAGTATAAATTATTTGGGGCTGGACACAGTGGCTCATGCCTATAATCCCAAAACTTTAGGAGGCCAAGGCAGGCATATCACCTGAGGACAGGAGTTCGAGACCAGCCTGGACAACATGGCAAGACCCTGTCTCAAGTGATCTGCCTGCCTGGGCCTCCCAAAGTGCAGGGATTACAGGCGTGAGTCACTGCACCCGGTGCCACGTCTGCCACCACACTGGCTAATTTTTGTATTTTTGGTAGAGATGGGGTTTCACTACGTTGGCCAGGCTGGTCTTGAACTCCTGACCTCATGATCTGTCCGCCTCGGCCTCCCAAAGTTCAGGGATTACAGGCATGAGCCACCGTGCCTGACCTAATAAATAAAATTTAAAAAAAAATTTTTTTGATGTGAAATATGAGGTGAAAAAGATATAGGTGGATTGCTCATCCCAGATTACTATAATACCTCTATAGCAGAGACTTCTATGATTCCCAACTTCCATTCTCTCCTCTCTTTCATAGTATTAGAGAGCCCAGTATATGGCCACCCAGAATAAAGAGCCACTTGCCAGCCTTCCCAGTAACCTCGTGGCCATGTGACTAAGTTTTGGACAATGAGAATGTAGCAGCAATGTATGCAACTTCTGGGTCACGCTCTTAAGGGGAAGGAAAGAAGATATTCCTTCTCTTTGTATATCACAGCACCTGAACTCATCCAATCTAACACAGAATTTGGTACAAGAGGGGGGTTGCTGCCCTAACAGAGCCTAAAAATACATATGGCATTGACTTAGGGGCCAGGCAATGGGTGCCAACAACACAGGTATTTCCACCTAGAAAGCTGATGGGCAGTGTTATGTTATAGGACAAAACATTTGGTGAAACTGAGGCAGACTGCATGCCCTTGAAACCTGTAGCTCAGGAGTGTATGTTCACTGTTTCTCGTCACTTTCAGGAATGCCCAGGAGAAAGATGAGGTCAAGTTGGAGCTCCCTAATGAGCAAGTAGACATGAAGAGGATTTCAGCTCTGCAAAAAGGAGGTACCCTCCTGGCCAGGCACGGCAGCTCACACCTGTAATCCCAGCACTTTAGGGGGCCAAGGCCAGTGGATCACTTGAGGTTGGGAGTTCGAGACCAGCCTGGCCAACATGGTGAAACTCCATCTCTACTAAAAATACAAAAATTAGCTGGGTGAGGTGGCAGGTGCCTGTAATCCCAGCTACTCGGGAGGCTGAGGCAGGACAACCGCTTGAACCCGGGAGATGGAGGTTGCAGTGAGCCAAGATCGTGCCACTGCACTCCAGCCTAGGCGACAAAGCCAGACTACGTTTTAGGATTAAAAAGAGAGAGACAGAGATATGAGATTTATTTTAAATGCCCTCCGAGGTGAGGAGCACAATATTGAAGTTCTAGTGTGTAACTGATGGAAGATTCAAAGGTCAGGTGTCCAGATGCTGGAGGGGATCTTCAACATTAATCTAATAATCAGATCAAAGATGCCAAATGATTTTCCTCTAATAATCAATCTGTAAGTATCTTCTACTCCGTGAGGACAAATAACGATACAATAATTTTAGGGCATAAATCAAATACTCAAAATTAGTCTCGCAAATGAGCATACACCGGGCGAAGTGGCGGGCGCCTGTGGTCTCAGCTACTCGGGAGGCTGAGGCAGGAGAATGGCGTGAACCCGGGAGGCGGAGCTTGCAGTGAGCTGAGATCCGGCCACCGCACTCCAGCTGCTGGGCGACGAGCCAGAGCTCCAGTCTCAAAAAAACAAAAAAAAAGAAAGAAGTTCAAAACTGACATGCATGACTGTTAAGTCATTAAAACCACCAGCACATACCGAGGTGATCACAAGAATGTGCTAAAAGGAAAAGAAAGAAAACACACCAGGCACAATTAGTTCTCAAATTCGGCCAGAAGTTAAGACTTAAACTCTAAAATACGTAACAGACTAGCTTACAGGAGACAAACAAAATAATAAATACATGCTGTTCTTCCAGACTAGGAACTAACGGCCCCATTTCTATCCCAAGCAGTGCAGTCTTGGACCCCCCAGCCTGGGCTCATAAAATAAAAATCCTCAGAAATGGTGCCTGGAATTGTAACCCTTGGAGATAACTTTACTTCTCGCCGACAGGCCTCGAGCGTTGGTTTTTTCTACAGCTCGGGTGCAGTGGCTCAGGCCTTGTAATCTCCAACACGTTGAGCGGAGGCCGAGGCTGCAGGATTAGTGCTTGAAGCCTCAAGAGTATCAGATCACAGCTGGGCAACATGGGTGGCACCCCAATC